GAGGGGTCATTGAGGACACCAGGATGGGTCAGGGGGCTTGGGGACATCAGGGGGCTTGGGGACACTGGGAAGGGGTCATTGAGGACACCAGGAGGGGTCAGGGGGCTTCGGGACATCAGGGGGCTTGGGGACACCAGGGTGGGGTCAGGGGACTAGGGGACATCAGGGAGCTTGGGGACACCTGGGGCCAGGGGATTTGGGGACATCAGGAGGGGTCACTGGGGACACCGGGGTGGGATCACTGGGAGGAGTCAGAGGGTTTAGGGACATTAGGAGGGGTCACTGGGGACACTGGGAGGGGTCAGGGGACACCAGGAGGGGTCACTGAGGACATCAGGAGGGGTCAGGACACAACAGGAGGGGTCACTGGGGACACCAGCAGGGGTCAGAGGGTTTGGGGACATCGGGAGGGGTCACTGGGGACAGCTCCAGGTACTTGGGGCACCCTACAGGAAGCACCTCAGGGGGTCTCTAACCCCACAGATCAGGGGGTCCCCAGAGACAGAACTGGATGGGATTTGGGAGCCCCCACCCCACAGATCAGACAGACCCAGACCCCTCTCACAACACAGGACACCAAACAAGGTGCGTCTGGTCACAGCCCCAAAGATCAGGAGGTCCCTAAACCTACAGATGGGGGTCCCCAGCCCCAGAGACAGAACTGGATGAGATTTGGGAGCCCCCACCCCACAGATCAGACAGACCCAGAGCCCCCTCACAGCACAGGACACCAAACAAGGGGGAGTCTGGTCACAGCACCACAGATCAGGGGGTCCCCAAGCCCACAAACAGAACTGGATGAGACCTGGGGGTCCCCAGACTGGCCAGACCACACGTGGGGTCCCTGACCCCTGCAAAAACACAGGACACGATGTGACACTGGGGGGGTCCCAGCCCCACAGATGGAGGTACCCAGCCCACAAACAGAACTGGATGGGATTTAGGAGCCCCCACCCCTCAAATCAGACAGACCCAGACCCTTCTCACATCACAGGGGAAGGCTCCCAGCCCCACAGCTGGGACGTGCCCCACACTGGGTGATCCCAGCGGGTGTCCCCATGTCCCCCTCACCGCCATGACGCATTTGGGGCAGCGCCAGATGCCCTTGGGGATCTCGGGCAGGGGGGGCAGCAGGCAGAAGATGTGGTAGTTGTCATCACAGCCGTCACACAGCAGCAGCTTGTCGTCCTCGTCACCCCGCGAGCAGATCCGGCACACGTAGGAATCCACCTGGCAAGGGGAGGCAAAGGGAGATTTTGGCGGGGGGTGGGATTTGGGGGGGATTTTTTGGGGGGTTTTTGCACCCCAAGGCCAGCCCTACTCACAAACTGGCTGTTGCTGTGGCTGCGGCGCAGCCTCATGGTCATCTTGGTGCAGGGCTCGGGGCTGTGGCGCAGCTCGTCCCGCCCGTCCCGCGCCCCCGGGGACACCGGGGACCCCCGGGGCTCCGCCGGCGGCTCCTCCTTCACCACCACCGTGGGGGGGCACTCGGGGCCGTCCTTGTCTGTGGGGAGGGGGAAACGGGGGTTACAGGGGGGGGGAAAAGGGGTCCCTAAAGACTGTGAGGGAGCTGTCTGTCCTACAAGGGAGAAGTCTGTCCGTAAGTAACTGGGGAGAGAAGACTCCTAAAGAAGACATCCCATAAAACCTGTGGGTGTGGAAGGGCATCCCAAAAAAAATGAGGAGAGGTACCCAGAAGTTCTGGGGGGTGTGACCCAAGACAGAGAGGATAGAGGAAAGAAAGAGGGTCCCTGAAGAATCCAAAAGAATTTGGGAGACAACCCAAACAAACTGTGGACAAAGAGCCTCCCACAAGAGCTATGGAGGTATGCTAGAATAAATTAAAAAAATCCCAAAAAGACACAGAGGCTCCCAAAAAGATTTAAGGGATCCCAGCAACCCCTGCACCCCACAAGAGGGGGATCCCCAATACCTTTCTTCCTCAGGGTCTTATCCTTGGCCACCAGCCCCAACCCCAACATTTTGGGCCCGGCCCCGTAGATCTGCAGCTTCTTCAGCTCGGGGTTCTTCTCGATGTCCTCCTCCGTGGGCTCGGGCTGCGGGACAGCGGCGTCAGGGGGATCCCAGGGGGGATCCCAGAGAAGGTTTAGGGGTGTCAGGGGGGATTTTGGGGTGCCCACCTCCTGCTGCAGGCGCTTGGCACGCCGGCCGTAGCTGTTGAACTTGGAGGGCTGCACGGACTGGCGCAGGGGGATGCTGTGGGGTTTGTACTCCCGGTCCTTCTCCTCGCTCTCAAAGGGCCGCGCGTGGCACTGCTGGAGGGATGGGGGGGACCCTCAGCGTGGCCTGGGGGTCCTCCCCAAGCCCCCCCACAAAGCCCTGCACTCACCACCAGGTTGGCCCCAGACTGGTACATCTCGTAGGGGTAGATGATGCGCTCGTAGTGCGCCCGCAGCAGCGAGCCGATGTTCTTGCCCGACGGGTACGAGAGGCGCTGCGCCACCCGCGCCCAGCGGCGGTCCTTGCAGATGGCCTCGTAGCCACCCTCCTCCATCACCACCTGTGAGGGGACAGGGAGGGCTCAGGGACACTTCAGAGCCACCCAGGGCCAGCCAGTGACACCCACAGCCACCCAGAGCCACCCGTGCCCAGTGGCGGTCCTTGCAGATGGCCTCGTAGCCACCCTCCTCCATCACCACCTGTGAGGGGACACTGAGCACTCAGAGTCACCCCAGAGCCACTGTCAGTCCTTGCAGGTGGTGTCATAGCCACCCTCCTCCATCACCACCTGTGAGGGGACACTGCGGGTTCAGGGACACCCCAGAGCCACCCACAGCCATCCAGAGCCACCCCCGGTCCTCGCAGATGGCCTCACGGCCACCCTCCTCCATCACCACCTGTGAGGGGACTATAAGGGCTCAGGGACACCCAGAGCCACCCAGGGACACCCCAGAGCCACCCCAAGTCCTTGCAGGTGGCCTTGTACCCCTCTTCCTCCATCACCTCCTGTGAGGGGACACTGAGCACTCAGAGTCACCCCAGAGCCATTCAGGGCCACTGCCAGTCCTTGCAGGTGGCCTCGTAGCCACCCTCCTCCATCACCACCTGTGAGGGGACACTGAGTGCTCAGGGACACCCCAGAGTCACCCAGGGCCACTGCCAGACCTTACAGATGGCCTCGTAGCTACCCGCTTACATCATTGCCTGTGAGGGGACACTGAACACTCAGGGACACCCCAGAGCCACCTAGTGACACGCAGAGCCACCCCCAGTCCTTGCAGGTGGCCTCGTGGTCACCCTCTTCCATCACCTCCTGTGAGGGGACACTGCAGGCTCAGGGACACCCCAGAGTCACCCAGGGCCATCCCCGGTCCTTGCAGGTGGCCTCGTAGCCACCCTCCTCCATCACCATTTGTGAGGGGACACTGAGTGCCCAGGGACACCCCAGAGCCACCCCAGAGCCACTTGTGCCCATGGCTGGTACTTGTACCCCCCCCTCCATCACCACCACTGAGTACCCCAAAACTGGGCACAGTCCCCCCTAAATGGGGACAGCACCCCCTAAACAGGGACAGCACCCCCTAAATGGGGACATCCCCTCCATGGGGGCAGTAAACTCCTCTAAAAGGAAACATTTCCCCCCCCAAAAGTAATTAATTCTCTGATTAGAAAGTGTTCCCCCCAAAAGACAATTACACCCATAATTAAAAACATTACCCCACACAATCAACCCTCTAAATAGAGAAATGTCTTCCAAAAGAGCAAAATATTCCCCAAAAATACAGTTAACCTCCTCAATGGGAAAATTAAATTAAGTTCCTAAGTGGGAAAATACCCCCACGGAGGGCAATTAACCCCCCTAAATGAGAACATGCCTCCACGGGGGCAATTAACCCCCCCAGTAAAAAATACACCCCCAGAGGAACAATCACGCCCCCAGATGAGAACACACCCCAAAATTTGGGGGAATTAACCCCCAAAATAGGAAAATATTTCTCCTCAGGGACAACCACCACTGGGGGGGCACCTTCACCATCCTCACCCCCAGGTGTGACCCCCCCAGGAGGGGCTGGGGGTCCCCAGCTGCCCCCACATTTTGCCCCCCATCACCAGATCAGAAAACACCCCTAAATTTGGGTGAATTAACCCCCCCCCAAAATTAAAATACTCCCCTCAGGAGACAATCACCACCGGGGGGGCCCTTACCCCACCTCACCCCCGAGTGTGACCCCAGGGGGGGCTGGGGGTCCCCATTTTGCCCCCCCGCTCACCTTGCTGAGGCTGTAGAGGTCGAGGATGCGCCGCTCCACGTTGGGAATTTTGAGGGAGGAGCCCTGGATCTCCCAAAATTTGGCGATCTGGTCCAGGTAATTCAGCTTCACCCGGGTCTGCGCCTGCGGGGGGGGGGAAATGGGGGGGCAAAGATGGGGGTGAGACCCGTGCACACCCCGAAATCAGCCCCAAAAACCCCCCCACGTCCCCCCCACGCCACTCACCTCCAGCTCATTGAGCCGCTGGATGCGGGGGGTGAACCTGAAGTTGTCGACCTCGACAGCAAAGGGGGGCTGCCAGTCCTGGGGGGGGCAAGGGGGGGTCAGAGGGACACCCAGCCCCAGTCTGGGGGGGCAGCAGCCATGGCCCCCCCAGGGTGGCACAGACAGGGCAGCCCTGGGAGCTCCACAGGGGAGAAAAGGGGAATAAACCCCAAATTTGGGGGCGGGGGGGAGCAGCAACTTCCCCACCCCACAAAGTTCTGCACAGGCAGGAAGAACACACAGCTCAAATTTGGGGGGGGCAGGGGGGCTCAAGGGCCACGGCCCCCCCAGTTCTGCATGGGCAAGTAGAAAACACAGCCCAAATTTGGGGGGCACAGAGAACACACAGGCAAAGTTTGGGGGCTCAACAGCCATGGCCCCCCCAGTCCTGCACGGGCAAAGAGAAATCTGGGGGGCATGGAAAACACACAGCCCAAATTTGGGGCACACAGCCCAAATTTGGGGGGCACAGAACACACAGCTCAAATTTGGGGGGCAGAGGGGGTCAGCAGCCATGGCCCACCCCCTGGGTCCTGCACAGGCAAACAGAAATTTTGGGGGCACGGAAAACACACAGCCCAAATTTGGGGGTCAAATATGGGGCACACAGCCCAAATTTGGGGCCAAATATGGGGCACAGAGCCCAAATTTCAGGGGCACACAGCCCAAATTTTGGGGACAATTTGGGGGGCACAGAGAACACACAGGCAAAGTTTGGGGGGTCAGCAGCCATAGCTCCCCCAGTCCTGCACAGGCAAAGAGAAATCTGGGGGGCATGGAAAACACACAGCCCAAATTTGGGGGACACAGCCCAAATCTGGGGGGAAATTTGGGGCACACAGCCCAAATTTCAGGGGCACACAGCCCAAATTTGGGGGGCACAGACAACACACAGCCCAAATTTGGGGCAAACAGCCCAAATTTCCGGGGCACACAGCCCAAATTTGGGGGGTACAGAGAACACACAGCCAAAATTTGAGGGGCAGGGGGGCTCAGCACGCACAGGAAGATCAGCCCTGGTGAAGGCTGGGAGGAAAACGGGGGGGACCGGGGGTGACCCACCCCCCCACCCCAAACTCGA